CCCAACATTCATGGGATAATGCATCACTATTCTGCCATACAATCCCAACATTCATGGGATAATGCATCACTATTCTGCCATACAATCCCAACATTCATGGGATAATGCATCACCATTCTGCCATACAATCCCAACATTCATGGGATAACGCATCATTATTCTGCCATACAATCCCAACATGCATGGGATAATGCATCACTATTCTGCCATACAATCCCAACAGTATGTCTCTCTGTGGAGACATAAAAACTTTATCCAGAAGAAAGAGTAAGCTGAAACATTGGTAAAACAAACAGTTTATCTGAAACTCAAGTTGTTTTTACTTGTAGAATGAGTTATTGAACCCAGTACTCATTACTATAGGTAAAAACTAATCCCAATTTTTGACATTATTTGATTTGTCTACTCCAACGACATATATACACATTTTCTTGGCATAAAACCAATCCAACATGGTTTACATTAGCAATCATAAAAAAAACAAATCCTTGATAGATTACTTTTAGAGAATTTTGTAGGTAATGCTCCACTTCTGGATCAATTGGGTCATCACTATAGAGAGAAAACCTTGAGAGTCCCAATTCTCGTATCCCAATTTGGGCATTCACAGTCTGAACAAATTCTTCTACTGTTGTTGATCCATCAAACCCAATTACCTGTGTTCGGAAATATGCATCAGAGTATGCTATTACCAATCACATTCAAAACATATTTTACAGAATTTATATTTCTAGTTTTACTTTTATAATTATAAAAGCAATATATTAGTGTCAGGATGAAACAAATTTTACATTTAATGATTTAAGCTTTAGAAAATTACCATTCTGATGGTCCCAAGTAAGCTATTGAATGCTTCTACAAGACAACAGAAATGGGAGTATTTTTCATTTTTAATGCATGTGACTATACTTTTGTGTATTCATACTAAAAATGAACATTAATCTTTAGTGAACTAGCATAAAAATGTAACATACAAATAGTATAAAAATGTTACATATAAATAACATAAAAAGGTTACATATAAATAACATAAAAAGGTAACATATAAATAATTTTTGAAAAGCAAATACTATGATATCTATTGTATTTTATTAAATCAATACCAGGCCTCACCAGCTTATTTATTTATTCATTCATTTGCCCATCATAATCCTGTAGTCTATCTCTACAAAAATCTTTCTGACACATTACATGGTAAAAAAATCAATAAGTTTGAAATCTGCAATGCTTTTAAAAATTAGAGTTATAAACTCACATTACTAAGATACCTACAGAAAATAGCACAGTGACTGGGAGACTCTGTTAACATTCAGCTACAATTTAATTGAGTGACATATAATGTAAGTTTACATTAAATTATGTGTAAATATGTTAACATTAACCCTAGAACTACCAATGAGACCTATATGGAGCCCAACAGCTTTTTGGACACCCTTTCCTAAGCTATTTATGCACTAAATTGCTTGTGGGTCCATCACTCTGATGGTTACAGGGTTTTTAATAAACATACGAGTCACACAAAAATTTAATAAAAATATCATCAATATTGAAATTAATCCTACTAATTACTGCTTGGGTCACCCACATGTTTTACTTAGAAAAGTTATAATTTTTCTATACTGAAAATGTATTTCTAACAGGTACTTACCTCCTCTCACAAGATTAGCTATTCTCGTTCAGTGCTGCCCTCTACATGTGAACTTTTCTTTATGCATGCCACAAGCCTTCCACTCTGCCCTATTGCAATTGTTATATTCCAACAAGTCTCTCATGTAAATCCTCATGTGTCAACTACTAATAAATAGGAGCATGAAATGCTCACATGACACATGTGACTCCCTCTACACTTCTCTAGCAAACTATCACTTTGAAGTTTGGCAGAAGATGTCAGCCCCAGAGAAAAGTGGGGAGGAAGGGTGGGAAGTGTGAAAAAAGGTAAGTACCTATCATTTTCAGTATAGGAAAAATATAACTTCCGATACAGTACTTACCTGCTCTCACAAGATTAGCTAGAATCCCATATTGAGAAGGAGGAGAGACCGGTGCGAAGGAACAACAGAAGTACCCCCAAAAGCATCCAAAGGATACTCCTGAAATTGTTTTGGTTATCGCAAATAACAGGATATTACATCATCTACACCCACAGAATACCACCACCCTACTTTGTAACTGAATGGTTATTGTGTGGAACTCATTCAGCAGGGAGCCTCAATGGTCACCCACACCAGTGGCTTGGAACTGGATAGTGGCAAGGACCCCCATACTCCACTCGAAAAAAGGAGGGTGAGAATGCAGTGGAGAATCTGGAGGAATGTAATTACCAGAGACAGTGCAATAGATGACTATAAAACCTTATTTTGAAAAGACGACCATACCAAGTTATTTACTCTAGGCATGGAAGGGATGGGCAGCAATCCCCTTCTGTTTTACCCATGCAGTCCATGGGTGGTACGGTCCAGAACGAGCATGTTTATGAATCAAAATATTGCTAGGTTATTCAATGTCAAGTGATCTTGTGGAACCCCATCTCCACGGTGAACATGCGAAGCCATGGAAGATAATGTGTGAGTCAACATGGCTGTACAGTGTGGATTTAGAGTTAAAGAGTAACTGGTCAGCCACCACTTGCCACGGAGCAGGATCTATGTGATAAAAAGTAGATAAAGTCCCCTGAAAGAAAGAAAGTATGAAGAAAAACTTACCAGTTAGAGTCACATCAAAGTCTGAAGAATGACCACACGTGGTAGATGAAACCCCCGATGAAGAAGAAACTATGATATTTTGGAGATAGTGGGAGATGAACATACTGGGAGTGGTCCACATGCCAGATTGCAGTATCTCCTCTATTGGACAACGAGGACGAGAGGAAATGAAAAAAGTGAGATGTCAAATCTGATTGGAGAACACCTGGAACAAAGGCCGGGAGGAAGAAGGTAGGGAATAATAGGCCAATCAAATCAAAAGGTGGACCCAGTTGGCAAGGGCAGAAGGTGAAATATTATGAAGGGAGGAGGATTGCCAGGGGATAAAGAGTCGGGGTAGAAGTAAGGGTTCTATAGAAATGAAGAGCCCTGACCGGAAAAAGAAGTTCATCCAGATCCAGTCGAGGGTAAAGATGGGAAATAGAAGGAAGGGAAATAGGAGAAAAGGAGGAACCACCCTCCCAAGCTCTTTGGGAGAAAGGAACAATGTACCCCATTCCTGAAGGGGTGCATCTATGAAAAGATGTAGATCCAGATGCAGGGGAGAAAGCAGCGTGACCACCGATGTATGGGCTTTGTCCAACCACCAATACAGATTGTCTTGCAGTAAAGGAGGAAGGGAAATTGGGTTGGAAAGAGGATCCTGAGCACGGTTTCATTGTTCATGAAGTGCCCATTGAAGGGATGTCATATGGGCATTACCGAGAGGATACTAGTGGATTTGAGGAAGAACTTCTCCAATTTGATCAACCAGCCCACCCAAGCCACCACAGAAAGTAGCTGCTGAGTATGATTGGCTGATTCCTGTTCGGAATGAGCCAGAAGAAGACAGTCATTCATGTAATAATGAAAATGCTGCCCCAGAGCTTGGAGATGACGTGCAAAAACCCGGATTATTCAACAAAACATGTAAGGTATTGAGGCAAGTCCAAAGGGGAGTGACCAAAATCTACCTTTAGATGGACAAACTGTAGATAAGGATGAAACTGAGGTGATATTAGTATATGTAGGTAAACATTGGAGAAATACATTTTTGTCACCCACAACCCTGAATAAACGCTCATCTCAGGGTGAGAAATGACTCCATGGTGAACTTTGGTAGTGATATGAAGCCGTTGAGGCGAGATAAATCGATTACAATTTGCCAATTCCCAGTTTTCTTGGAGATAACGAGAAGGTGAGAATAAAAAACCCTAGAAGGATGGGGAACAGGTTCGATTGCCTGCTGCAAGAACAGTATCTGAATTGCTTCTGACAGATGCTAGCTGGTCACGGGATCTCGAGGAGAAGAGAAGGAAATGTCTGAGAAATAGGGCCATATGTAAATCCCCGAGATATGTTAAGGGTAAACAGACTTGAACCAAAATGGCATCACGGCATATAAGATACCAACAACAAATAAACCAAGTATGTAATGCCAGAGTTGAAGATGATATGCTGGCTAAAGTTGAGGAGAGAAGGGCAAGGGTATCTGCAGAAAACCCTTCAGGATTTCTGTGGAGAGCCTTAGATAGGAGGTGTATGGAATAAAGATATCGTAAGAGGTTGATTAGGGTAAGATGCAGGCAAGAATATTGGGCATGGGTAAGACTGTCATTTGATTCGGAAGCCACCCACAAAATAGGTAACAATGAATCTAACAACTGCTGATCTAAAAATGGATAGTCCAGCCAATGGTAAGAAAGGGTGAACTGATCAGAAGTCCTTGGGGGCGTGGCATGCTAATCCCCTCAGTCAATTGCAAGACAACTTATTCAACATGAACTAAAATATCAGGAGGGAGAGGAAAAACAAAAAGGGTTGGGAAGATTGTTCATGCAATAAGGAAGGATGAGGTGAATAAGAAATTGATGAAAGGGATAAAACATCACAAACCTGAGACACAACATCCAGATAGACCAAATTAAGCCTAGATGATTCTTCAGGTTGGGAATGGGAAGGAACAGGAAACTCTGGAGGTGGAAAAATATGACCAAAGTCCTCGTTAGTCTGCACAGGTCAGACAGCTCAGGAGGAGCCTGAGTGATGTCTGGGGACAAATGTTGGCCTATGTAACGTTTGATCTCTCAACATATAAAAGCAGATAAATCCACCATCAGGTCGCCCTCACCTAAGACCTGAGTAGAATTGCTGGTCACTGGTGTAGCTCTCGAAGTGGTTTGGGTAACTTTGGAATTCATTGCACAGAAAAGGTTCACCAAGTTCGAGTGCAGAAATAAAGCAACTAGAATTAACTGATAAGTACTAATATAGGAATTGGGTTGAATGAAAGCAAATTAAGTCCTAAAATATCCACTTCACTTCGTGAGGAAAACATGAAACATTAAGCACACAAAAGAGCACATCTAAACTCAAATGCTGCTGAATGAGAAGTGATAGTTCAGTAGAGGAGTGTAGAGGGAGTTACATGCACCATGTGAGCATATCATTCTCCAATTGGTTAGAAGGTGACACATGATAATTTGCATGAGATACATGTTGGAATATAGCAATTCCAATAGGGGGGAGTGGAAAGCTTGTGGTATGCGTAAAGAAAAAGTTTGCATATAGAGGGCAGCACTGAGCAAGAATAGCTAATATTGTCAGAGGAGGTAAGTAAGTACCATATCAGAATATGTGATTTTA